CCAAGGATACCGAGGGTCTACCTGCTGGTTGGGCTACAGATGGCTGTATTGTGCAAGTACTGACCGAGTCCAAACACCATCGACCGGTTTCTCTCGGCTATCACCACCCACAGGAAACCACAGGGCCCGAGCTGGTGGGCGGCAAGTTACAAGCATTTTGACCACCCCTCGCATTACGTATTAGAGACGGGGGGAGGGAACGAAGCTCGTCAAGATCCCTAGTGTGCCGTCTACTGTAATTGAAAAAGATCCGCCGCCATTTTTTTTCTTGTTTCTCTAGGTTCCGCTGCTAGACTTCAACCACACCACTGCCTAATTGACGAACCACAGAGTGACTTTGTCGAGTGAGAGAAACACCAATTGCGCCCGCGTCACTAGCTTTCCCTCGGCTTCCCTCTCTCAAAGCGCACGAGGGAACCGAACGGAGCGAAACCACGCCCACGCCAACTTGGACGTTCCTTGTGGTAGTCCGGTTCACTAGAAAGGGACAGTCCCGATCTACGACACGATCAACTCAAGCATATACATACGCTCGCGCACATATTTCCGTAGCCAAGATGAATACCTCGGCGTCACCTCTCGCGAGGAGTCTTCAGCGCAGCACGCGCAACCTCTCAAGGTGTCGATTCCGGGCTACACGTCCCGCTCAAGCAGGACTCGCCACCACGGCTACCACCAGCTCAACAACCCAGTCAAGAAGCACGACTGGCAGGATACCATCTACACGGGGCTCTGCGGGCGTTACGATCTTCAGGCCTCTTGGCGCACGCACTTTCACGACGAGTAGGACACGACGAAGCAATGAGGACGACGAATTCGATCCGGCAACGATTGAGCGTGAAGCAGATGAGGTCGATGTTGTCATTGTAGGCGGCGGTACGGAACCATTCCACCCCCAACGCCCTCGTGCTATACAACTTGTGTCTGGATCCCAATTGAGCTGACAATGCCTTCAACGCTCCAGGCCCCGCTGGTCTCAGCGCCGCGATCCGACTCAAGCAGCTCGCCAACGAAGCCGGCAACGAAGACTTCCGCGTCCTCCTCCTCGAAAAGGCCGGCGAGATGGGCGCCCACATTCTCTCGGGCGCCGTCATCCAGCCTACGGCCATTGAAGAGCTCATCCCGGACTGGCTGTCCGAGGACAACCCGGACCGCTTCGAGTACGCCACACCCGCCGGCGGTGACCGCATGCGCTTCCTCACAAAGTCGGCCGCGATCCCCTTACCGACCCCTCCGCAGATGCACAACGACGGGAACTACATTGTCTCGCTCAACCAGTTCACAAAGTGGCTAGGCGACCGCGCCGAGGAGCTCGGCGTCGAAGTGTACCCTGGTTTCGCCGCCTCCGAGGTGCTCTACAACGAGGTTGACGGCAGCGTAAAGGGCGTCGCGACAAACGACCTCGGTATCGGCCGCGACGGGAAGCCAAAGGACGCGTTTGAGCGCGGCATGGAGTTCCACGCGCGTTGCACGCTCTTTGCCGAGGGGTGTCACGGCAGCTTGAGCAAGCAGGTCATTAAGAAATTCGACCTGCGCCGCGATAGCCAGCACCAGACGTACGCGCTGGGAATCAAGGAGGTGTGGGAGGTGCAGCCGGAAAAGTTCCAAAAGGGATCCATCACGCACTCCATGGGCTACCCGCTGTCCAAGGACCTGTACGGCGGCGGCTGGATGTACCATTTTGGGGACAACCTGGTGAGCATCGGCCTCGTCGTCGCGCTCGACTACGAGAACCCCTGGGTCTCGCCCTACGGCGAGTTCCAGAAGATGAAGCACCACCCCATGTACAAGGAGGTCCTCGAGGGTGGCAAGTGCCTCACATACGGCGCGCGCGCTCTGATTGAGGGCGGGTTCCAGTCGATCCCAAAGTGCGCGTTCCCCGGTGGCGCGCTGATTGGTGACTCGGCTGGATTCGTGAACCTACCCAAGATCAAGGGTACGCACAACGCCATGAAGTCGGGCATGCTCGCCGCCGAGGCCGCCTTCAACGCACTCTCCTCGTCGTCCAGCAGCAGCGCGGTAGCGGAGGAGGGAGAGGGAGAGGAGGCCGAGGAGAAGCCGCGCGACACCGTCTTCTTGTATGACTACGAAGACAAGCTCCGCGAATCCTCCATCTGGAAAGAACTCAAAGAAGTCCGCAACTTCCGCCCCTCATTCCACACCCCGCTGGGCCTGTACGGCGGCATCGCCTACTCCGGTCTCGAGGCGTACGTCCTGAAAGGTCGCGTCCCCTGGACGCTGAAGCACAAGACGCCGGACCACGCGGCGACGGGCAGCGCGGACAAGTTCCCCAAGATCGAATACGCCAAGCCGGACGGCAAGATCTCGTTTGACATCCTCACGAGCGTCAGCCGCACGGGCACGAACCACGAGGAGGACCAGCCGGTGCACCTGCAGGTCAAGGACTGGGAGAAGCACACGCGGGAGACGTGGCCCAAGTTCAAGGGCGTCGAGAACCGGTTCTGTCCGGCGGGCGTGTATGAGTATGTTGAGGACGAGACCAAGGAGCTCGGGGTGCGGTTCCAGATCAACGCGCAAAAGTACGTTTCCTTTGCAGGTATCCTATCACGAGAGGACGTTTTACTGACTTTTTACATTTGTAGCTGCATCCACTGCAAGACGTGCGACATCAAGGCGCCAAACCAGGATATCAACTGGCAGGTCCCGCAGGGTGGCGAGGGTCCCAAGTACTACATGTCATGAGACCACTTTTACATATCCATCGGCATCATGGCTGGGAGTATTTACTACCGGATAGAAAAATCATGTTCCTTCTCTCATCTGATCTGGACTAAAGACCGTCACATCTTTTCCCCCATCAGATCAAACCAAGGACCATAGCAGGGGATATTTTTATACGATATTGCCCAAGACGGAGGGAGATGGAAGAGTTGGGGCAACATGTGCAAGGGAGTGTCGAGAGCATGGGCTTTGAACATATAGAGGCCTCTTCCCGAATACAATACCGGTGTCAATGGGGGGTTTTGTGTAACCGCACTTGGGGTGGAGGTTGTATTCGTAGTCGGAATATCCGGTCAAAAATGAGGAAAAGGCAGAATATCATGACAAAGAAATTGTCGAAGTTTGCCATGTGATTGCGCAGAGACCGTCTAACAATCCAAACCAGCAGCAGCAGCAGCAGCAGTAATAACTGACTACGCAGTACGGATATCCCTATCAGTCCGCATCGGCAAAGAAGGATACAACGATACCCTTACCTTACTCACCCACTGGGCAGTTTAGTTTGCACATATGAATGACGACACACGCGATTGTTCCCGTCTAGGCTGGTCCGGCAAGCTGGCCCCGACTTGGAGCGTGTATTGTGCATGTGTGCGTGTGTCCAGTGTGTGCCCAGTGTGCGGCATATCAGACGAATGCCCAACGCGTCCCTTGCCTGCATCGACGTCGAAGTTCTGGAAAGACAAGGGGCGCGCAAAAAAGGCAAGGGGTCCCTACTGCCGCGACGTCGTTCCCGTCGGCTCGTGATTGACGATGGAGGGTATGGAAGGATAAGATAGTATATACTTCCCTCACGTGAGAAGCGGAAAGATGGAGGGGGGGGCCTTTGCTGAATCAAGTCGACACGTACATCGCGAGACAGAGAGAGTCCCTGCAGGAAAAATAACATTTCTTCCAGGTCGTGCTCAAGTTGCGACTGTGCGGAGTGGCACCCGATCGGAGGTAGACCCCGACTCGGGCGGAATGCGGGAATGGGAGGGGGGCCAGGTGGGAGGGGGTGAGAAGGGAACGACATCGGAGACAACCAAGGGTGCGATGCGAACTTGCGAGACACTTGTGGTTCATGAACTCCATGCGTTGGGCGAGGCTGGAACGGGGGAGGAGGGGGGGAGGCCCACGATTTTTTCCCACGGGACACATTGCAAATGTGTAAAGAATGCGGGTTCAGTGCCCGTCTCAGTGGCTGGAGTGCAGCCTTTCAAGTCGGACAAGCGTTCTCTTGAATCTTTATTTTGAATCTCGGTCTGATGGCGTGCTTTGCGTGCCAGTTGATTGAGTCGTGTAGCTAGCTCTTTGGGTTTTGTTTGGTTTCTTACGTTTAGTTGGGAACTCTGGGTCAGTTGCTGGGTTCTGCACGCTGCCCAAAGCGAGGAGAATTGGCAGTGCGATGGGCAGCCAAACCTTGGGCGTCGCGATGGAGGCAGAAATAGGATACATACGGTGATAGTCTCTGAGTACCTTGTTATCGAAGAAAGTTAATTCTTTTTAAGTCATAAGTATAAGAATATAGTTTTAATAAAATAGTATAGTACTTACTTAGTACTTAAATTAAGATACTTTTTTAAGCTTATTATAAGAAAAAGATAATTATATTATTAACTACTTATTATCGAGGTTTATAAGTAGTACTATAGCTTTAACTATAATAGCTTTGCCTATAATAAGTAAAAAGTCTAATTATAAGTCCCTTAAAAACCTCTAATTAAGAGCTATAAGAGCCTCTAAGTTAAGTTAAAATGCTTATTAAGATATTAATAACTAAACTAACCCTATAATAACGACTTTAATAAAATACTTAGTAAATAATACTAGAATCCTTACTAACGTTAGGTATAATTTATAAAGCGTAGTAACGTAGCTATAGAGTATTATTAATATATTCTATACTAAAAAAGGTATTATTAATATTAATAAGACGGATAGGGCCGTATTAATATAGTACCTTAGCTTCCTCTTATAGCTCGAGGATAATTACTTTAAATAGTATTAGAAGTTTATTAAAAAGCTCTTTTAAATATTTTAATATATTTATTATTATTTTTATAATAATAAGACTCCCGGCGCTTATATATAAGAGTAGGTTACTTATTTTTAAATAATAATATTAGCTTATTAATAAGCTATTGAAATTATAATTCTAGCGATCCCTTGACGAGGGAGAGGGTAGAATAGAGGAAAGGATGGGTAAGAAAAGGGTTGAGGTTGAACAGTGCGGAATTCGAGGGCAGGGTAGCGTCTATATGTACTGCGGCAATCCTCTAGTAATGCAAAACAATGGAGTTAAACAGTGCGGTGACAGTCTCAGGGAGTGGTGGTGTCAAGTTCGAGGGTGAGGGTGAGCCACCTCCATGTTCCAACGAGGCTGTCGGACTTACAAAGTACGAGTTTGATGTTTGAAGTTGCATGAGTCGCAGCGCAGATGGAGCTTTGGTAGGGCCCGCAAGGCCGAGATGCGGCCTTAAAACCGTATAGAAAAGCAAGCACCTGGCAAGCAGCGCCAGCAAGCAGCAGCTGCAAGCACTAGGTTGGGGTGTGAAAGAAAAGAAAAAGAAAAAAAGGAAAAACCTTGGCCTGAGGTTTGGGGCAATGGGGCTCACACATGCATGAGTCGCGAGGGCAAAGCCGAAGGCGTGGACAAAGTACCTCGACTTGGGAATGGATCCAGAGGTACTTGTGCGTGCACGGACCATTGCCCACAGTCTCGCGATAGACCTGGTACCCGATACCTTGTTGTAAGATTGCAATAAAATTTGCATCTGTAATATTGCTGCAAGCGCCCTTTCTCTGCATCCATGGCGAAGCAACGCCCAGCCATGCTTGGGCTAGAGCGACGTCAAGCGGACACAAAAGGTCGAGTTGAAGAGGTGTTGGCTGCTGGTGAGCGGACTTACACGATATTCAGTTCTCTTTGGGGGAAGACAAGCCGCAAAAGGACCTTCTTTGATGGATGTCGACAGAGTTTTTCCATCGGGCGAAAGTTCGGGTTCCAGAGATGGGTATACTGCGTATAGTCCCCAGTGATGGGCCGCGGCGTGGCAAGGCTCGCGTACCCAGTACCTTGACGCGCCAGTCTTGTTGCGGGGGCCTGGTGGGAGGAGTACGCAGTAGGAGGCGACCGACAAACACGCACCATTGATCAGACTGGCAGACCCAGCCCTTTTTCTCAATGCTCTTCCCCCTTCTCCCGTCTCCCTCTTTACCAATGGCTGGCCACTGGCCGATTGGAGCCGGTCTGAAGTCAATGACTCACACGTCGCAAGCCGTCTGTTTGCTGCCGCGGCCCATAAATTCCTGCCAACAGACCGCGAATGCCCGAAAGCAGTGCAGGCGCCATGAAAAATAGCTGCCGTTTTCGCGTTCCTGCCTGGTGGTCATGACGGTCCCTTTTGTTCCTTGTTGTTCGGTCCCCGCGTTTGTGTCGTGTCCTCGCGTCCGGGCGACATGCCGACAACGTGGTCTGGTGACCCTTCTGACAGGTTTGACGGAGAGGCCGTTCGCTCCTGTTGCTGTTCTTGCCGCTGCCGCCGCTTTGCACTGACTGAGCTCGTGTCGGATGTGATCGTCAGTGAGGCCATCAAAGTAGGGGGCAGGCTCAGCGTTTCAGAGCGCTAGCGTGTGGTAGGAGACTGAGAGAAGAGGGTTGGAAGAGGGAAGAAAACCCTTGGGTTGCTGGGACGAGAGGATTGGAAAAAATCATAAAAAGGGGGGAGGGGAGGGGGCAGGTCAGAAAGGGGTGAGGATGGAAGGGGGGGCCCAGTCGGTGTCAATCCAGACCAACACCCCCCAGTGGTTGGACTCTAGACTCCTGGAGTCGTGGTGGGTGTGCTGCAGCTGCCAAAGAAACTGACTGACGCGGCGCTGAGGAGCCTGTTGGAGCCTGCCTGGCTTATGTTGCTTGGGCTTGCCTGGGACAGACTGGTATCCGTACGGAGTATTCTGACTATGGCTAGTCGCGAGACAGATAGACAGCCAGGCGGGCCTGGCACTGGCAGACTGGGAAGAAGGAGGAAGAAGCGAGCGGAATGGCGGAATGGGTCGGCAGGTCGTGGGTTATGGGTAGCGTTTGTGGTAGCGGCACCCGTACGAGGTAGCGCCGCCAGTGGGATTTTGCATTTGGTTGGCGTCCAGATGGTCTTGACACGGCCCACGGCCTATTACCCGGCTGGATTTTTGGAGGGTTTTGGGCTGAGCTGTCGCGGGATGCAGTGCGGTATCCGTAGTCCATACTCCGTACTGCGTGGTGTGAACAAACGAATACGCGCCATTCGTTCCGATTCCTCTGTTTGAGCGCATGGCTGGAGCGAATGAGATCGTCGTCATGCTCCTGTCAGATGTGGTTGGTTTCGCCGTCATGTCAGTCTTGTTGCTGTTGCTGCTGAGTGCTGACCCGTCGCGTCGTGAGGCCGTGGCGAGCAGTGCTGAAAAGAGTGTCGCATTCTGACAAGTGTGTGAAAGCCGTGTCTGTAGTAGGGAAGCGGTAGGTCAAGGTCGCAGTTTGCCCACAGCTCCGAAATGAAAGCGAGGAAGAAAGAAAAGTGCTTGCGATCGGAGTGGATGATCACGCCGGGTTGCGTTGACGGAAAAAGTGTGGCCATCAGGGATGGGCCAGGAACCTAGGCAAGCGAGTCGAGTCACAGCTGGCAGGGGGCAACGATAAAAAAGAAAGGGAAGAAAAATATACGGATACAAGGCAGGAAAGCAGGCTCCGGGGCAACAGAGCACAAGACAAAAAAAAAAAAAAGGATGGCAGCTGATGATGACATAGGTAGGATCCATCAGGGAGGGCATCTCAGCCTCTGTGGTGAAGGGACGTCCAAGAGCTGGCCAGTGGCAGGTTGGGCAGCTGTGAGAAGGGCACGCCAGAGGCAAGTAAAAGGCAAAGCAACGCAAGGAGAGGCAAAGATTCAATCAAGAAAGACTGGAAGGCGTGGAACTGGAAGGATAAGCACTGGCCAGAATGCATTGTCGCAAAAAAAGAGAGCGACTTGGTTGAAAATTAATGGATTTCACAATGCAAAGTACAGAGACCTTAAACGCGGTGCTGCGATACTTCAGGGGCTGGGGTGGTCACAGCAGGGGTACATGGGGACAGGAAGGAGATAGAATGAAGATTTTCCAAGGCGCTGATTGGGTGCATGCCCTTAGCGTGGCCGCTAAGCACAAGCAATGTCAAGCAGGACCAACCGCCACGGCGCACTGGCTGCCTGGGGCCCCTGGGTTGTGTGGCAGGGGGGTGTCGTTGGGGCGACTGCTCAGGTAGGCCATGGCCAAAATTATAAAGAGGCAGGCCTCCCTCCAACCCGCTTGTTTCGAAATTCTTGCGCGGAAGCTCCGACCGACGGCCTTGCGTAGTCATCCATTCACGTTCGGCCTTTCTAATCTTCCTTTCTCCACCCCCACTCAATCCATCCCCAATCCTCCAATCACGACTCAGAGATACGATTTCGCATCGTCCTTGTCGTCATCGCAACATCCACAAGTCCGATATCCACGATAGACACATCTGCTGTCATCAACCTACACTCTACTTCCTCGCGATCCTTCTGGACAACACAGCTCGCTGTCGCGACTCTTGTTTCCACATCTCGGAAGTCGACTTTTACTCTCTCTTCCTCTCCCTATTAACCACCCGACGAACCCGTCAATCCTCAGAACCCCCAGGCGGTATACCTTCTTAACTGAAAGTGTCCCCCCGGATCTCGTACTCTGAGACGAGAAAAGAACTGGAATACGTTCCTTTCGAGACATATCTTCGTCAGACTTCCCGCGCGAACCCCTTCCGACGACACACCAGGTCGAGAACGAGTCCGTTGCACTCTGTAGACATCGCACGCACCGTCGCCGAATAGAGACACCGTGCTTTGAACCGTGACGAGGTATCCAGAGACGTCGAGTTGATTGCTGGCATCTGGGTCATTCGCGACATTATCGAAGCGACGCCTACGAAAACCACGACCTTCTCGTCGACCTACCTCATTTGATCCATTTGCATCCCGTTCCCGCCGCTGTCACAAGCTCGGCACTGATCGCAAGAAAAGTCGCATCGCAAGATACACGCGCGTACCTACAAACCTACTGTCCAGCAGATACTGTAGGGGAGACATTTATTTGTTCATCTCCAACAATTGGTATGCCCTCCTTCCTTTTCTCTCCTCTCTTGTCGTGGTCGGGGTGCCTTCCTCCATTTGCCTGCCCATCATCTCTGTCGTGCCTTCCCATCTACCACAAACCGGTGGGGGTGGTTGGCGCCTGTGATTGGCCCCCCAACCTCCGAATATATTGTTGCATCTTTTACTTCACCAAAGCTTCCCATCAACACAATATTGCCGCGCTTGACCCATTTTCATATCTTTTCATTATTACTTCACAGTCCCCATTTTTGGAGCCACGCTTCATACTTTTTATCATTATCACAATCGATTCGAGAAACGAGACTAACTAGCAAGGCTTCAGATCTGCTCTTATTCTCGGTTTCAGGTCATCATCCATCCACCGCAATCATGGAGGCGATTCAGACCCATCCCACGAGTGCGGCGCAGGCTAAGGCTTTCACCGCGCCCGGCTCCCTCTCGTTCCCCGGCGGCGCTCACGAGCTCCCTCCCCAGGCGAACGGCGACAAGGCGGCCGTCAACGGACAAATTCCTGTGCCCAACGGCCAGCAGCCTGCAAACGGTACCGGGGTGACACCCGCGACACCTGCTGCGACGCCTGCCGCGACACAGGGTGGCAGTGGCTTGACTCCTACGTTGCAGTATGTATATCACGAGTGATCTTTTTTCTGCTCAATGAGGCTTATCTCGCCTACTCAAGGAACATCGTTGCCACGGTAAACTTGGACTGCCGCTTGGACCTCAAGACGATCGCCCTGCACGCGAGAAACGCAGAGTACAACCCCAAGGTGAGACAATATGCCCACTCGAGTTGCACTGTCGCTGACTCTGACTTCACAGCGTTTCGCTGCCGTCATCATGCGTATTCGTGAGCCCAAGACCACTGCCCTGATCTTCGCTTCCGGCAAGATGGTCGTCACCGGTGCCAAGTCCGAGGATGACTCGAAGCTTGCGTCTCGCAAGTACGCCCGTATCATCCAGAAGCTCGGCTTCAACGCCAAGTTCACGGACTTCAAGATCCAGAACATTGTCGGCTCTTGCGATATCAAGTTCCCCATTCGCTTGGAGGGTCTCGCTTCGCGCCATCACAACTTCAGTTCTTACGAGCCTGAGCTGTTCCCTGGTCTTATCTACCGCATGATTAAGCCCAAGATTGTGCTCCTTATCTTCGTCAGCGGCAAGATCGTCCTCACCGGTGCCAAGGTGCGAGAGGAGATTTACCAGGCCTTCGAGATGATTTATCCCGTGCTTCAGGGTAAGTACCTTCTCTTAATCTCCGGTCTTCACCTACTAATTATTCTTTAGATTTCCGCAAGGTCTAAACAGACACTTGAACACATGGATAGATCATTGACCCAGTCGATGTACTACCACCATACACAAAACCACCGACTTTGTACGACTAGACACTTTTTTCACGATACCACGAATTCTTTTTCGCACACAACCCAAAAAAAATCGAGCGTCCGTCACCTGGCAACATGGTCGTGACACAATCATCGACGCACGTTCTGCTCACTTCATCTTTTTCGTTGCATTGCATTGGCGTTGGTACAGGAGGTAACCTGGGCCGGAAGTTTCCGGTCAGGTGGTTGATTCAAATGAAAAGAATAAGATTTCTCAATCCGCGGCACTACATAGACTGCTCGTGGCACCGTCGACGGCAGATGCGCAGGTCGACCTTGCCGTTTTTAATGGACTCGACTTAGATGCATTGGGGTCTCGGATCGGATGGGGGATGATCAACGGGGATGAGACGGAGTTGAAGTTGCCTCCTGGACAGTAGGTCGGGAGGGACTGCTGGTGGAAGGGGGGAAACCGGTTTTGCAATGATCGTTGCCTAGTTTCAGGCAACATAACCGATCACTCAAGTCTTACTCTACGTTCAGTCTGCGAGTTTGATTCGAGTTGACAAGTCGGCATTATCTTTTAGTACAATGCCAACACCCGGTTTCTATTACATGTCTGTGCCTGCCTTGTGATGGTGACTAGTGACTGATGTATCTACGTACTACTGTCGAACGTACTCATTACACCTCGTAATAGACTCGAAACTCACAACTACTTCAACGCTAGCTCTGTCCCCTGTGGCTCTTGATATTATTTCATGACTGTACATTTTAAACAGCTTTATCTCTACGGTCGCTACATGGTATCTACATTCAGCATATACTTACATCAATGCGATTCCGTTGGGTGGATGGATGGGTGTTAATTCTTCCGTCTACAACTTGGCTTGCTCCTGCTTCAGCAAGAGACCAGGTATGCCTCCTCGGCTCCCGTCCTCCGTCATAATGTGCTCGTACAAATCCGTCACGTCCGCCTTGCTCTTGACCTCCCTCCACCGCCACTTCTCGGTGAAGACCTCGTCGCCGCGGCCCTCGAGCACGTTTACGATTTCGCGACCGAGCACGGGCAAGAACTTGAAGCCGTGGCCGCTGCCGCCGGTGGCGACGAAGAGGTTGCGAGCGGTGGGGTGGTGGCAGACGAGGAAGTCGCCCGTCTGGGTGTCGGTGTACCAGCACAGGCGGGTGTGGACAAAGGGGCGGTCGTGGATGGCGGGGATGGGGACGATGGTGCGGACTGCTTTGCGGAGGGCGGCGACGCCTTCGGCGGGGAATTTGAGGTTCGGGTCGGTGAGGTGGGTTGCCGGGAGGGAAACTGTCGACTTTGTCGAGGGCGGGGTCTGGGGCGAGGGGTGGGGGATGGCGGTCGGGTTGAGGTAGCCGAAGGCGTGGCGGGCGACTTTGAGTTGCAGGCCTGAGGGGGGGATCATGAAGAGGCCGGTGCTGAAGTTGAGGGTGACGGGCATCTTGCGGAGGACCTCGAGCTCGTCGGGGGTGATGTCGATGTAGCCTACGGCCTGGCCCGTGGCGATGGCCTGGCCGGAGAGGTCGACGAGGGCGCCGGTCCAGGCGCCGGCTGCGACGACGACGAGGTCGGCGGAGAGGACGGAGCCGTCTTGGAGGGTTGCGCCTGTGACGGTCGACTTGTCGGGTGTGTAGTTTAGGCGGGTCGCGACGCCGGACACAAAAGTGACACGGTTAAGAGCCACGACTTTGCGCGCGAGGTAGGACATTGAGGCGCCGGCGTCGGCCCAGCCCGCGAGCGGGTTGATGTAGCCCCATGTGCCCGGGGCCTCGGGGGTGCCGAGGTAGTCCTTGATGGCTGTGGGAGTGGGCAGCTCCTTGATGATCTTGTCGCCGTCCTTGCCTGCCAGGGAGACGACGTTGTTGTAGCTTTCGCGGACGTATTCGAGCGAGGTCTTCTTGGCCTTTTGCTTGGCGTCGGCGTTGGTCTTTGCTGCTGAAGCGGAGGAGGAGGAGGAAAAGTACGATGTCGAGGCCGTGGCGACGGGGTCGGCGACGAGGCAGAGGCCGGACTGGCTGTAGCGGCCCTCTGCGCCGAGGTCAGAGGGGTGGGCGGTCTTGCGCCATTCTGTCTGGGCCTCGGCGGCGAGGGTCGCGTAGGCCGGATCGGCGTAGTCTGCGCGGATGATGCGGGAGGAGTCGACGGAGGCGGCGTCCTCGCTGGGGCCGGGGATCGGAGAGCGGTCGAGGACTGTGATCTTTGTGGAGGCGTAGCGTGGGCGCTGGGCGAGCTCGTAGGCCGTGGTCAGACCGAAGATGCCGGAGCCGATGATGAGGATGGAGGAGGGTGCTGGCTCTGTCGCCGCTGCCGCCGCCGGGTCGGAGGGCATCTTGTGGCTCTCGTCTGGTGTTGGTGTCTGTGGATGGAGTTTCGTATGCTATCGGAGCGGGTACCCGGCGCGGGAGCGGGAGGCAGGAAGATCACACGGGGTAAGGTAGAGGTACTTTTGAGAACCTTTGAAGCCAAAAGGGCAGGAGAGAAAACATTACCTTAAGAAATGCGACGGACAGGATAGGACGAAGAAATAATAGTGCGGGTCGATCTCTGGGAGTGGGAATTGGCGGTGCGGAAAGCTCACCGCACGCGGCCACACGTACGAGGGAAGGGCGTTATCGGAGGTCAAAAATTTTTCTTCCTTTCCTCTGCAGACTGCTGGGGGAGTCTGGGCTAGGTTATCGAATTGGGTGGGAGGTCGGTAGCGTCTCCCGACTCCCGGGGGTAAGGTAGGTCTCGCGTCGACTTGCTCGCTGGAAATGGCGTTGGCGGGGTCATTTCATCGGTGTATCGTAAGTTTTTCCTCCACCCCGGACGAGGGACAGACCTGGGAGTTTGTTGGAGTGCGGGCTTGCTTGGCGGGGGCGCCGACCGGTGTCTTTCTTCTCCCATTTTCTGCCTTCCCCTGCGACCAGGCGTGGGATGGGGGGGAGTCTGGAGGGGTCATCATGTAAGGTCAATGGTGTTGGTGGGGGGTTCCGCCAGTTGGGAATAGTCGGGATCGGTAAGGTTGGTTTGCAGGTTGGCCGACACTTGCATGAAGGGAAAGGTTTGGCGGTGGGTTAGGTGTTGCGGCAGTACGAGACGGACGTGGTCGCGTGGTTTTTGAACCTGTACAGGCTTGGCTTTTCCGATGTAAGCGGCGGATGAGTGGATATGTTGGTTTTCTTCTCACTCAAGAGGAAAATGGCAATTGACGATGGTGAGCATAGCAGAGCGTTGATGTTCCTGGACTCCCCTCGGCGATGAGCGATGGTTGACGGAAGATAATCGACGTCATCCTGGCAGGCAATGTGATGGCGGGAAATGAAATCAGTGCGCTGGGCTTGTTGGGCTGAGCTCAAATAGCCGCCACTGTCCCCCAACTTGGATCAGGAGACTGCCTTCTTCCCTGTCTTTTGCAGTCACGATTTCAGGCAGGCGCCCTCGCGGTCTTAGGCTCGCTCGTGCGGGGAACTATCATCCAGCAACATCAGGCCCAATGGTCTAGAGGTATGATTCGCCCTTCGGGTTTAAAAACCCTTCAGCGTAGCTTGAATGGGCGAGGCCCCGCGTTCGAATCGCGGTTGGGCCCCTGATAACTTTTGCCATTTTGATGTTTTGGTCATCTACATGATAATGATTGATCTATGACGGTTTAAGCGGGAAAATACTTCGATATTTTGCGAGGCTGAAGGAGACGGAAGCAAATCAGTGAGAACAGCAGGCAAGTAGCAGAAATCAGGCACTCCAAGCCTTAAGCTGGACCGTGTCAAATAGAGGTTTCTCGTTCCACTATTGGTTGCCATGCATCGCCTGAGCACGCACAGCAAGCGCAACGGCAGGCAGGTCTAGTCAGATATCACATCACCACAAGGCTGACTTAATCATGACCGTTGGGCTTCTAAACAAGGAAACGTTGATGCAACCTGGACCATGGCGAGCCCAGCCCAGCCCAGCCCACCATTCCTTACCTCACGGCTCTTTGTTTTGTACCAAGACCGTATGAATCCCATGGCTCTTCCCACCGCCCACACCGTGCGGGGTTCGTGGTCGCATCCCCGCTTTCAGCTGTCCCACGCTGTCTTCCCTGTCTCAAACCACCTCTCACTCACCCAAATCTTCCTTCACAAACAAAATCCCATCACCCAAAAACAGACAACCACATAATAAAAAAAAGATGGTGAGATTCGGATCGCTAGTCTTGTGTGAAAGACTATCAAATGAGCTGCAGCTAACGTGTGTTTGACAGGCTGCACAGTTGACTCAGGAGCAAAGGGCGCAGTACAAGGAGGTGTTTGACCTCTTCGTAAGTTCTCACTCACCCCTCCGAGCTCTCTCCGTCACTTGGCTGCCTCAATGCCCCTCACTCCCCCTTTCCATCAGGCTGGCAGCGCATTGTGTAGAGCTTGCGCAACAAATTTCTCAAACCTCAAATCAAGCATCTCTACTAACTACTTGCCTGTGCAAAATAGGACAAGGATGGAACAGGTTAGTTTTTATGTTCTCCCATGAACCCTTTAATATTTTGGTTTGCTTCGCCTCCCGCCACCGGCAAACTGGGGGGTCATTGAAACTCGACTTGAACCCTCTTTGGCAGGATGAGCGTCGGAAGAGAGGATCTGGCTTAGACCCCTTTTTTTCCATCTCATCTTGCTCTTTTCATTTTATGCACTTCTTGTTTGATATGCGAGACCTCTATTACTTTTTTCTCCATCCCATCAACGGAAATTGACATCGTCCCTGCAGGTGACATCACCGCCCAGGAGCTTGGCGAGGTGATGAGGTCCCTGGGCCTCAACCCCAGCGACACCGAGTTGAACGACATGGTCAACGAGGTCGACGCCGACAACAACGGCACCATTGACTTCAACGGTGAGCTCGAATCACCTCCGCCCTCCGCAAGACCCCTCTTCCATATGGAACATATGCTGACGGACTTTCCTCCAGAGTTCCTCAACTTGATGGCGCAAAAGGTGCAGGTCGGCGATGCCGAGGAGGAGCTCAAGAACGCTTTCAAGGTGTTTGACCGCGACGGCAGCGGCACCATCTCGGCCGAGGAGCTGCGCCATGTCCTCACCTCGCTCGGTGAGAACATGACTGCGGCGGAGATTGATGAGATGATTCAAATGGCCGACAAGGATGGCGATGGATCAATTGACTGTAAGAGACTTCACGTTTCCCCCCTCTCTGCCTCACTATTGGGTGACTTGGTGGCAATGCTGACTCTACATTTCGATAGACGACGAGTTCGCCTCGATCATGATGAGAGAGTAAAGAAAAGAAAAAGGGGGTTTGTGGATTTCTTGGCGGTGATATCCATCGTTCAGTATTTTGTTTCTTTGGGTTTCCGGTCCGGTTATGTGGGTAGAGCGAAATCTGCCTAGTTTCTCTTTGGGCCTATGGGATTGGTCTCAATATCACGATACTCTCACGAAGTGGGATCTTGGAATGATCGACAACAACAACAGCTCGTGTCCCATTTTTGGTTCTCGTGATCGGTCTCCGTCAAACCTGGCGTGCCAGTGGTCTTGCCATTGAGCGAAGAAAGACTATTTCATATGATTAAGGTAAGTCTGTACTGGAGTCGCGTCGTAACGCTACATGTATTGGAGGATGTTGAATACCGACCTCGCTTTGACTAGCTTGTACTTCTCAGGCTACAGCGGCGCATCATGGCATTTCTCTGTCCTAGACCTGTCGAAGTTCAATAGGCATTGCTCAGCAGTGAGATCTCACAGAGATACAAAAATACTCTGCGTTGATTATGATATATGAATTCATCTGTCTATCTGACTTACAGGGTGAATAATAGTATGCATGTCGATCAAGGATTTCTCGACTATTTAGCAGTGATGCATCGACACCCTATCACTTCATTTCAAACCAGCTCAGTTCCGAGAAGCATTTTCTTCCTAAACCAAGAGCTGGGCCCCTTTAAGCCACATCTTAGTACAAAGGCCCTCAAGCTACTGGTGCATCTTGCTTTTACCCAGCATATTCCGAACTGATTTGGCCTCGGCATCGCCCCCTACTGATCAGCAACTTTCCTCCGATTGTTTCACGGAACCTTGAGAATGGAATTGTCCTATAACCATGTGGTCATTCTCAGTGAGTGCCAGAAGACCGAAGGGCGGGTGTGCTGGATATTCTGAGGATAGGTAGGCGTAGTGACCACCGAGTTCGATCCCCAATGTCAAGGAGGAATGACTGCTGGCCAAGTCCCCCAAGTAAGATGGAGATTGTCTCCCTTGGTGATTGAGCCTTCGCATGAGCAGGTGTAATTCTCTCAACAAGGCTGACCATGAGCGCAAGAAGCTGTGCGTTCTCATTGCGTTCTTCGTGTTTCAATGCGTTTTTCGAAATTTGTGACAGGCGACAAGCACGGTGTTCTCGAGCTCAATATACCAATGCTGGTGGACTACGAATGCATGGACCGTGTCTGTTCATGGTCCTTCATACCACAATGTCCGGCCAAATCGGTAGGAGAGCTAAAGCGAAGCCAGTCAGCACGTTGTTTCCGCGTGTGTTGAGTGATGAAGCACGTCACATGTACTGTCAGAGAACAACATCTGGCATTTCTGTCTGATCCTGCCGCCGCAGAAGCAGATATGGAAGCCGTATGGCGTGGCGGTAGTCGAGTAGAAGGCTGGAGTAGAGGCTGAAATAGAGGCCGTCCGAGAGAGATGGTCAATTTGAACGCCAACATTGAGTACAAAAAGACTGGTGATGCAGTAGATTCTGAGTCTCATCTTGAAGGCGGATATCGATGTCGGCACCAAGACTGAACATGAAGAGCCACAGATAACGCCGGTCTCAATATCTGATGTAGGAACGGCTATTGAAGGTGTCAGCGGAGGATTTCTGCACGTAGTTGAAGCCAAGGCTAGAACTAGAACTAACCATAGCAACCAGGATTGAAAGCTCCCGCCAATAAACTTCTCTTCTTTTTCAGAGGCTTCCATGGGCTTTGGATCAGCCAGGCATATACGCAGTTTGGCACTGAGGCCAGCCGGTCGGGAGTATAAAAGCCGATCTCCTGTCCTCGTTTGAAGCTCAGACAGACAGTATTACCAGAGGATAAAGTTTGGCCGTTTGTCCAGTATTGCCAGGGGATAGCCACCAGTCTGCTGCTATACTTTCGTCTACAGTTGACCAGGCTTGAGACTAGTACGGCTCAGTCGTTCATCGGGCCCTCTTTCTCCCTCCAGCTTATTCATTTCGTATCCTCAGAAAATGAAAACGGATCATGACGCTCATTTGAGCGTTTATTACTAGAGGATAAAGAGGTATTTTAAAAGTACTGTTAAATATAAAAAAGGGGGTTAAAAATTAACGAAAGTAAGGGAAAAGAACCCTCTCAACCTGCCGGCGCAGAAAGAAAAAACACGACACAAACTAAACCCAAAGGGCAAAAACAGAAAACACCAGGGATGGCGGCTGGTCCAGGAGTTGTCGGTATACCACGACGGATACGAAAGGGGGGAGGAAGGCGAGGAAAGGCCGAAGCCACTGGCGGAGGGTGTCGCGGAGGGAGGCGGGGCGGTGGACGTGGATGATGAGGACGGGAGCCCCAACACTGGTGATGGAAGAGGGAGGCTGAGCGGGAGAGAAGACGGGGGGGTGGTCGGTCGAAGGGGTGGAGGTTGGTCGGTTGTGGGCAGAGCCCACAGACGTATCGATTGTGAGTCTTGGTCGTGTCATCTATATAGTGTTAGCATAATGTAGAAGAAATAGACAAAGTTGTTATTGAAGCTGTCTGCAATCATTGCCTTACCTTGATTGTTCTGACGTGGTTGGGGAGAGAGAAGAGTTCACGAAATCACAACAAGCAGAAAACTCCTAATACACCAAGGCCTCATGTCAGAGGCGTGAGCCTTCCTTCTAAGAAGTTTTGGGCGTAACTTTCTCTGCAGGGTGCTTTCAAAAAGAATACAGGAACGATGTTATCGACTGGAGTATCATTTATTGTTTGTAGACTGCTACCTGCCTCCCGAAAGCTCATCTATGACCGAAATCATTTAAGAACGAGGGAGTATGGCCCTAGGAAGGCCAGCACTTATGCCGGAAACTACCCATGATCCGTGCAGGCTACCATTGTGGCTCTGCTTTGATTGGAATCACCACATCCTGATGTCTTGGTTGATCCCAAAAGGAAGCCGCGTGTGGTGGCTCGGTTCTCCATGACCAGACGGCTTGATCTTGATGAATTAGGAACCCCATATCCATCCCGTTTATATCCTTCACTTCCACGACAAGTTTAGCCCTCCATTTAGGGTCAGGGGAATCGTCTTGAAATCCAATCTGACCCTCCCAATTTCCCCAAGGATTCTTGATACGCTCTTTCTCCCATCTTGAGTATTCACTCCAATGAGTGACCAAGATGCGATATTGGAGGCGGAAGAAGTCAAAGATGCTGTAAATGAATTGAAGAAACCAATTGTCGAAGTATATGGTTCGTTGAACAAAACTTTCCCGCCACTCCATGAATTCATCAATGTTGTCTACCCGCGGTAAAAGATATTCCCTGCTTGGGGGTGTCGGTCCGCGTTGAGAGGTTGTGTGGTACATTAATCTCATCCAGTCGGTGCGGGCTATGAGCTCGAATGGACGAGTGGGACCTCCATGTCCTTCTTCCTGGACGTGCTGGGAAAGAACGTCGGTCGTGTTGGCTGCGTTCATGTTGTTGAGATCTATGGCAGCGTCCATCTTGTAATTGCACGGGTGCGATGTAGGGCGTCTTGGTCGGATGCGGTATTGCCGTATACGTATAGGAATATGTGCCAGGGAAGGACTAGTGGTATCGGTCAGTATCAACGTCTTCGAAAGGGGTTCGGGGCAGGCGTTATTACGAGAGCACTGGGACAGAGAAGGTGATGTGGTGAGATATCAAGAGTCAGGTTCTGTCGCAGGTGCATCCTTCTTTATATTCAAGAGAAAACCGCATTTCCATAAGCTACTGCCTAGATTACATGCCGCACCATGACGTGTCATCCACAGCGGTTCTTCGTGGCTTGAAGCATCCGCAGAAGCTGTGAACTTAACATCTCATCGCCATAAGCAAGTAGACCTGTTTGGTGCAAGTGGTAAGTGATGAAAGTGCTTGGTGCGGTCACTCGATCTCGTGGCCGTCTGAGGACTCCCTCGCGGGCTTTAGTGATGTCCCTGATCCAGGGTTTCACTCTTGTGGTCCATGATTGCGCTGACTCGCCTGTGCCATTGTTTTCCCAAGAGCAGATCCCACTCATCGCTTCGGCCAATGATGATCGCTTGCACGATACTCAAGACGTGGACCTCTACATCAAGTCTTGCACACGATGGTGCTACCAAGTGCCCACAATCGCGCGAGAAATCAATTCCAGATACGTGCAGTCTATATCTACAACACCATCCATGGCTACGCTCGGAAGGAACACTTTGTCAGACATGACGGTCGCCAGGATGCTGCTGCCGGCAACAAGTGGAGATAGACCGCAGAGTGAAGTACAACAAGGTGCGAAGTCAGGAAAGTGTGGCTCAAGTCGGTCAAGCCACAGCAGAAAGTGGCAGTGAGGAGAACAGTGCGAGACTTCCGTCTATCTTCTTGCACACAGTGCACGGCGCGACAGGTCCACGGACACACTTACAGAGCGCTGCGCTGATCTTCTTCTGCAACTTTACGAATACAGTCAACTGCGGTCTACGACCACGCGCCTCCTGAACTCGGCAGATTCTCATCGATTCTGACTATGCGACAAGAAGCTTCACAGCTATACCGGTAGCGATGTCATCGGCAAAAGACCTCGTCGAATTCCCCGACGTGGAGGCGAAGCTCCAGAAACCATCCAAGCAATCCGCGTTCGAGAAACAGAGAGCCGAAGCCGAAGCAAAGAAGGCCCGCGAGGCTGCCGAGACCGCCGCAGTATACCAAGACTTTGTCAAGAGTTTCGACCACGATGACGATGACGACCCGAGAACCGGCCGGTTTGGCTCGATGCCTTCACAAAGACCCCAGCCCAAGGTGGCTGGGTTCGGCGGCGCTCCGTTGGGCGCACCTGCACCATCTAGGCGACACTTTGGCGCATCCAATCCCAAGAGCGGCCCTGGTAGTCTAGGTCCTACTCCGAGCTTCAAGAGCGGTCCGGGAAGCTTGGGACCTCCGCCTGGCTCGCTTGGAAGGAAGAGGGGCTTCGACGCATACCGGCAGGAGAGGGACAGAGATGGCAGGCTCGGGTTCGAGGAAAGGGAGGAACCGAGTTCGGTCGCCAAGGTCTTCCACAACAGTGACGACGAGGACG